TTGAATGTGGATATTTCCGTAGGGTCGTAAATGCTTGAGTAATGGAAGTCGCTTAATTTGATAATTCATATTTTCCTTTTTGTAAATAGTTTTAATTTATAGAGAAGACAGATTTCATCATTTACTCACACTGATTTGTAGAGCAATTGCTTCTGTTATCTGTTTGGCTGAAAACACATAAAAATGCTATGCCAAACAAGCAATCGCTGAATATGCGATTGTTTCTGTCAAGAGCTCTCTAGCCTTCCATCTGTTCTCTTTCACACCTGTCCACAGCACTGTTTTTTATTGTCATCTTTGAATGTTGATTGCTATAAGACTATAAAGAAATCAAAGAACAGGTTTAAGAAACTGTTAGACCTTCAGGATTTTCCAAGCTAGCCAAAAGCTAACATAACATATGTGTAGCAGTGCACTAGAATTGCTAGAATTGCTTTTTTTTATTTTTATTTTTATTTTGACTGAATTGGATTGTTTCCTGTTCCGTTTCTTCTTCACTGCTCAGTCGCTCCTAACCAAAAGCTGAGTCCAGTAAGGCTGAAGAAATACTCAATTCTGTATTTCCGGAACAGTGCTTTGGATCTTTGGCCCAAATGGAGTGCTACGCCCATTGAAGTGTGTGGCTCCTGTTTACATCAGGAATGAAATAAAGTCCTTATGACATTTCCTGCAGTTGGTGACCTGAGCTGAAGTCCATGGAGACCAACGGAAAGATTTCCACCGATGTCAGTGGACTTTGGATCTGGTCTGTTGTGCTGGCTCAAACCATTCGTCTGTGAAATCAGAAGTCAGAGTAATATTAACTGTAAAGGCTGTTATACATAATAAGACTCTTTCTTCAGTAGCTGTTGCATCGGCAATTTCACCACGGGCCGTTTTTACTAGCAAACTATTCACTACTTTTAATGCCATGCTATTTTCAGGGATAGCAGTTATTTGCAGTGCATAACATTAGGTAAATACTAGTAAAATATATATTTTTGTAATTATATTTTATTACATTAATGCTTGCATTTCCAAAGTGTGATGCTTTCTTAAAATGCCAAACTTATGAATATACTTTTTTACAAAAAAGTTTAACTTTTTGAGTGTTTCCTAGGTATTAATGAGCATTTTACTGGAAGAATGGTGATATCAATAGGGATCTGAAGTGGTCTTTCTTGCTTGATCGTTAGAAGAAGGCTGTTCTGATATTCTGTGAGATTTCAGACAGTGCTGTATTTTGTATGTGGCTTTCAGCTGAGCTTTCGTATTTCTTTTTCTGGCCAGTGACTGAGACAGAACCGGAAAGGGAAGCCTGTCTAAGGATGGCTGATTTCCTCACAGACCGACAAAGAACACAATTGTCTATTTTATTTTTCTGCAGGACCCGAAGGTAAAATCTCCAGGCATATGCTGTTACTTTTTTTTTCTTTGATCTTCAGAAAGAAGAAAAAAAATAAGTAGCAGAAGCTGGAGAGACAACAAAAGAAACTGCTTCAACAGAGCCATGAAACAGCAAACATGGCACAGACTTCAATGTCGATTGCAGCAGCAACTGCCTGAAACTCAGTGCTGATATTTGCATTTAGTAGGTGGCACACCCATGTCTAGAATTACTGCTTCAAGTTCTTCCACGAAGAATACTGATTTGCAATGCCAGACGACCCCGGGCATCAAGCCACAGCAGCCAACTGATGCACGTCACCTGTGACGATACAGTAACCCATTGAGTTTAAAAACATTGCATTCTGCTTGTGAAATGTAGTGCCAGAATTGCAATGAGGGGAATAGATTTTGCTATTCCAGCTTTCTGAACTTGTGAAGAGTTAGCACTTTCCTGAAAGACCAATAAAACCGGCAGGCCATTTCTTTAGCTGTGGAATATCAATATAGCATCTCTGGCTTTGTTGGCGCTATCTCAAAACCTGCTGAGGTTGTGAGCTGGTATAAGAACTCTCCAAAGTTCTCTGCATCATCTGCTGCCTTCTACTGGCTAAATGGCAAATTAGTGTTTTTGTCGCCTCAGTCATGTTTTCTGTGCAAAGCCACATCAATCTCAAGTGTAGCTTTTCACAGTTAGGTGCTTATTCCTGTTACTACCACTGTAAACTTGTAAAGCTAATAGCAGATATTTATGACACTGCTTCAGTGCTCTTGTAAATAACGCCTAATGCTTCCAAAAAACCAGGAATAGGGTTTTGATATCATTTTTCACTTTTCTGCTTTTGAATTGTTAAAAATCCCTAAATCCTACATATGAAAGCGATTTGGGAGCCTAAGTGACTTAAAAGCCGAAGACATTTAAGTGCCTCTGGAAATTGTCACAATCCATTTTAAAGAGCAGTGGCAAATAGTTGGCAAAAACTTAGACCCCCTGTATTGATGTGAAACATGAACATTGCCTGTTGTGTGCTAACACTTCTAAATAGAACATCCTTCATGAAACTGCAGTGCCTTACTTGTTAGAGATATGTAAATTCTGATTCCTGGCTTCTGCTGCTTAATGCTTGATAGTTAGACTCTTAATGAGGAGCAACTCAAATCCATTCCACCACCAATCATCGTAAGGGCTTAAAGTTGAGAGATCGATGGCAGCATTCAGACCAAGTTCACCACACTACAATAGAAACCAGCTTTGGCTTATATGACCTGAACTTAGAGAGACAAAAACAGAACTGATGGACTGGGTTATGAGAGGCTATTCTGTTCTAGGAAGTGATTTTATTTCTGGGATACTGTATCTTATTTACTTTTCACCATTATGAGTGACCGTGGGCTTTGGTCTCTGCTTAATGCTCCTATATACAGAGACACAACTGCTTACGCATGAAGAGGAGAAGAATTCTTTTGTGTGCCCCTGATGAGCATATCCAAGTGATCCTCTTCCCAAGGGAGAACAGCTGCCCTGGGAATTGTAACATTCCTATGTAGCACCAGCCCTTTATACAGCGCAAGGAGGTTGGTGTGTGCTCCCACCAGTATCCTGCGAGGCTGCTCCACAGCTCAGTCTCAACTGTGTGTCCAGCAGCTCCCTTCTCTTCCAGAAACTAGGCATGTAGCTTTAACAGTGTACCTAGCCCACAAAAGGATGGCTCAAACTCTGCTCCCCTGCCTGGTTTGGTTTCCTTTTGTCTTCTAAGCAGTAAAATAAATGGACTTAAATCTCTCATCACTGAAACTGTTTTCTTTTTTTTTGGGGGGGGGACTTCCTGGATCCAGCCATTTGTAAATTGAGTGTTTTTTATTGATGAGGCTTAAATTCTCTATTGATGCTGTTGATGGCCAACACAAACAAATGAGCTGGTGCTTTTAGGATAAGTGTGTTTTGGTATGTTTTTAAAGTTAACTTTTCTGTTGCACACTCTGTCCCCCAATGTTGCTTGTGGCTTGTTGCACAAATGCACTCTGTATGATCTGCCAGTGTTGACGATTGTAATTGAGTGATGAAAACCAGTTTCAATGTGATTCATGAACTATAGAAAAACTGGGGCTAAATCTTTGAACTCTTAAAAATATTTTTAAATAAAATGTATAATTCATTATATGTATATCATATCAGATTTTTTTTTAAAGAAAGGACTTTAAGTCCTCTCTGCCATGATGCTTACTTCAGGTCTGTTAATTTCAGCATTTGATGATATTGCACATCCTTATGCTTCTGAAACCAGCTACATGGACACTTAAATTATAGTTGATTTGAAAAATGTCTTCTGCACTTGGAATTACAGGTCAAGCCTCCTAAATCTGGCACTCTCTAGTCTGGCAATGTCGGATGTTGCCAGACCAGAGAGCCCCAGTGCCTGGGAGTGCGAGCCGGTTGGGAGCCCAGCTGCGAGGAGCCCCACCGTTGGGCGAGCCTAGACCCAGCGGGGAATCAGCAAGGCAGCAGCAGAGCCCCAACCCAGTGTGGCAGCAGTGGAATCGTCCCAGCCAGAAGAGGCAAAAGCAGGGCCATGGCGGCTGGGGAGCTCTGTCCCTGGAGAGCCCCAGCCAGCTGTCAGAAGGAGTCTAGAGCCAAGCCCAAGCCATGTAGCAGCAGGGCTGGAGCGGAGCCAGCCAGAGGGAGGGGCAGTGTCCTGGGAGTGTCCTGTACTTAATGACAAGCTTTTCAAATGCCATGTGACTGGCATTTAAATATTTTTGAATGAGGATATTCATGCATCCCTGAAAGATCCCCGTGATAGAAACATGTCTCACTGGTTAAAGACTGAAAGTTTGAAATCCTGCAATTCTAAACTTTTCTGTCCCTGATTCTCATTTTAGAATTCATCTAGACTGGAGCTTGCAGCCCTGTTGTAATGCGCGTTGAGGAACCGCTGATTTAGCTGGATTTGACAAACACCTTTTGTGAAGGTTTAATTTAAATATTTCACAAACGTTTGTTCTAGGGTACAGATGTTGCATTTACTCTGGGGGGTGTCCTAATGTACAGCAGTTTCCTGCAGACTGTCTGTGAACTGCTCCGGAATCATCTTAATGACGTTGACAATGGAGATGCCCTCTGTGCCGGGGATTCAGAGAGGGCCAAAGTAAGTCTGTTTACGGCAGCCCCCTGGTGTGCAGGAGTCGAGTTCTTCCCCGGAGTTCTTCCTTAGAGCATAGTGCTAGCCCTTTATGCTGCTGGTCTGGTAAGTGGGGGACTGAATTTGTTCCATGCCAACTTATAAAGTCTAAAGTGCTGCAGTTGTCCCTTGGTGCATCTAATGGAGCTGTAGACGCTTGGCACCTCTCAACTAGCACACAGTCCCTTATGGGATTGGGCGCTTAATATAGCGAAGGAGTTGAGTGAGTGTGTGTGCGCGTGCGCCTTCCCCAGGAACAATACGCATATCCATGGAAGACTTGCAACAAAATACAAACTGGTATATCCGTGCAGTTTATTGAAATGTGTTCCTTTAAAAAGACATTGTCATGCATCAAGCTCTGGAAAGTGCCTGTAACTAAGGAGGGAAAAGGGGTTCTCAGATCATCATAAGCTGCTCTGGTGCTATAACAAACTCTTTAAAGGAATGGAAACACAACTTACTCCTGCTGTAGGCCCACTTTCCTTTACCAGACCAGCATAAAGGGATTGTAGTTTAAAATGAGAATCAGGCCCTCAATTTTCGGGAACACTTATTCACAAATTACCCCAGGCAACAGCTACTGCTATTTCAAATGGGAATGTCCCCAACTTTTTGTACTCGTTGGATGGGTTCATTTTGATGGCCGCAATCTGGGGAGTCCATCTGTAAAACACTTGCACAGTTTATGCTAATGCCATGTCTGAGCAGCACAGCAACGGGCCTTAGACTGCATCAAGAATGACAGACTTAATGGTTACAGACCTACAGTGTTGAGGGGGAGGGTAGACTTTGCTAAATGAGCCCGAATTTCCTATTCCACCCTTCAACAGATTTATTGCAAGGCCTAGATTCCCCAAAAGGGATTTGGGCATTGCTGGATTGTAAACAGCTACTTGCAAGATTAGACTTGTTGGCTTTAATGAGACGACTTGTATGAGCAGTGGGAGTAATGGGTTCCCAGGCATACTATATACTTAGTTTTTGTTTCACTGCAGTACTATTTCTGTTTTGGATTGCTGAAAATCTCTTCTCCTCTGTTTTTTTAATGGAAAATAAATGGGGATAGGTTGTGAGAACGAGGGCATTTTATCACATTTTGTTCTAATGGAGACACAGTTGCATCTGTTTTATGCTGAGTAGAAACATGACTCGACTAAAAAATGACTTACGCTTTTAAAGTAATTTTTTTTCCATGGACTACCTTTAATGTGGTGTTATCATTTCTATAGTATTCACGAACAAAGGTTAATCACAAATGCAAAGGATTAAATAGAAGCTCTGGAAGAGACACAGGTCTGGAAACTCAGCTGGAACTAAAGATGTGAACTGAAGAAGTTATGTCAGTCAACAAACAAGCAGACCATGCACACACATGATACTTGGTCTGCTTAGTACTTTGTAATCACTAACTTTTAAGCGTAAGGTCTGCTTTTCTGTTGGGGTGCGTTTGAGTAACTTTTGTCAGTTTTAAAAGTTATTCAGGGAAAAATAATTTGCTTGAAACCTAAGTATATAGTTAGTTAAATATGGTCTGTCATGCTATCTGGTTCTCCAGCATTCTCCTTGATAGATTCTGAATCAGGAACTCTAAGGGCATCAATGCTGTAGCGATCCACCGGTGGTCAACTTTTTGTGACTACTTAGACGTGATAAATCGACCTCTGAGCATGCTCCCATTAACTCCAGTACTCCCTTAGAATGAGAAGAGTAGCCGGAGTCAATGGGGGTGCAGCCCCCACCAGCCTTACTCACCATACACCTCTATGCTGTATGTCGACTTCAGCTGTGTTAGTCACAAAGCGGAAGTTGCATAGCTTAGCTTGATGGAGGGATGATATAGTGTAGAACAGAGATGTTAGTTACAGGGTAATTGAATAGTTGTGTAACCACATGAAATCTTTGCAGTTGCACAACTATTTGATAGTCCCCAGGGAGCAGGCCCAGCACCCATGTGCTTCCGGCCCCACTCCCAGGGAGCCCCCTGCTACCCTGTGCTGCTGCCTTTGTATCAGAGGCAGCAAGGTGTGTGTGTGGGCGGGCGGGGGGGGGAGGGAGAAATGCATGTGATTTTTTTAGTTAAAAGATAGGGTTTCGTCTTATACCCCAGCGCCCCTCCGCCTCCCCCCCCCAGTAGCCCC